TTCCCAGGATGGAGCCTTTAACGGTTACACGGCTAACTCGGGGAAAGAACTGCAAGCAATAAAATCACCCAGGAATCCTTTATGTGACGCTCACCAGCACTGCCGACGTCCAGTATGTCCTACTGAAATCAGATGGGGGATGTAAGAGTCACATGAGACGATTTTCGTGGAAGAAATATCATCATGCAAAATGAGCCAGAAACACGGACATTGACCACAAAAACTCTGATATTTGGGAATGAGAACCCACCGAACAGTTATTGAAGCCTAAAATCACTTTGATTCCACAAGTAGTGAGACCAGCCAGGGGATTCTAGACCCCGTTTGATGAAGATAACCTTTCCATCCCTCCATGTGGCAGCTGAAAGTCTTAAGGCACTTGCTGCCAACAGACGAAGGCTACCAACTAAAGTCCATATGCATCCAAATAGGCCATGTAATGCCAGGATCAAGTACAAATTCAAATAAGAACTGACCATTTCAATAGTGGACTGTCAAGACCATGAAAAAAAACTTGGAAAGGACATGAGCTACCAACTTAGAAAATATTGTGCACTTAGGTTACCTGTCCATCCACATGATACTCATACAGGTTAACAGGGTTTCATTACTGAAAGCATAATCTGCTTATACACATGAAAGCCATGGGTCTACCCAATAAAATGGATGAGGCACATGAACTCAGAAGTGATAGGAGCATCTAATACATAGATATCTTCTCAATTTACGGACCAGGAGGTATAAATACCCGGATTGGCTTAGTTCCGCAACGAAAGAAAGACTGCGATAGAGGTAGAGTTGCCTTAAATATGTGATCGTGCTTTGAAGTGTCTCAACCAAGTGTTTATCAGTCTTGATGAATTTACATGGTGCTTACTAAGATTGCCTATCACTTCAAAGCATATAGTTGGAGTCATCTACAGGAAGTACACTGCCGACAATTAGCACGACAATCGTGTGCTGGAAGGATTATCCCCCCGTTCTCGTCTTGCCTTCCCCAACATTCTACTGAAGATCGGTTCTTCTTTTTCAAAAACGTGAAGTTGGAAACTCGTTGGAGAGACAGTCAGGTACCGTCGTGCTGGGACTAGGGTTTTACAAACGAAGATTTTCTGATTTACAACCTTTCAATGTTGGCTACTCTAGATGTAATCACAATTGATTGATCACTGGGTGGTGATCAATCTCATGCGTGTCAAGTCTTTAGTGCCGATCGAGTGCTATCGGTCAAGTTTCAATGTGGCCACCAACAAACAATTTGGTGATATACAAATAAGCAGCCATTTGAGTCTAACCTGAAAGTATGTTTCGCGCCGAAGTAATGTTTAGAACAGTGTATTTGAAATAGGAAAAAGTCAGCAGATAGATATGAGGTAAGTGACAGGCGCTCCAAGTTTTTCCAACGGTTATCTCTCAAAATTACTATTGAACGCAGATCCCATATGATAATTATACGTCGCAAATAATGATAAAGATGTTGACACATAATATTAATTCGGTCATCAAAGAAAGATTTAAAGACGTCATGGAAATCAAGGGCATTGCAACGCTGTTGTCCGTAACACGCTTATAAGCGAGGACCCCAGACCCAATCGAAATACCTACCATAAGAGGAAGGGTTCTAAGGCCCAGTTGAGACGTAGTCTATATTTCAAGAAGTATGTGACCTAAACTGACTAGTTGTTGCGAGAGATGCATGATCGAGCCACCAACTATAGTGTATTTAGTGAAATAACTCAAGTCAGAGTCAACATCAGAACTATTCGTTTTTTAATTTATTTACTGCTACAGACCCTTAGACTACAGTCAAGCATTCTCAGGGTGGGATCCTGGTTTTCTCATAAAGCTCTTGATGACGGAAACGCTCTATCCAAATAAGTGAGATTTCCTCTAGCTGGTGGTGTTAGCAAGGTGAAACTTGGTTTTCACAGGAATACTGAATGAAAGAACTTGAAAAGTGAACGCAACTTATATCCTTATTAGTAAAAATTTTAAAAGTCAATGCTGAAGACTCGTTGAGTACACTCTACCAACTTCGTCGATTCGTGAAAGTGATATCAAATCATCACGAAACATGCATCGGATAAAGATATGCTGATGATGGAAACCATATTAAGGTGCGCGACAAGTATACAGAGACTATATATAAACTGTTGTGCAACGTTTTGCACTGATTAGAAATTTGGCAACTCCTGAGAGCGCGGGACCTGGTCGTTTACATTCCAATTTTCAAAGGGTGTTTGGATATTGTTAGGATTCAGTCATGCTATTTTGATCATAGAACGCTAAAAAAGAATGGGAATGTATAGTAATATCAAAAAATGAATGCAAAGAAATATCACAGCTTCCACTGACCGATACTGAATATGTCAAACATCTACAGCAGATGGATTGGGATTTTCACCATCAACTTGAAGTGGATGCTCATTGGGATTTCCCACTGCACACGGTCTTATGTGCTACAAGGGAGTCTGCACTTCAAAAAGTCCCCAAAAGCTACAAGCAACCTACAATCATCAAGAACCATACTCTTCGTTTGCTAAGCCTCAAAAGGTATTGTTGGGCTGAATAAAAACGAGCTGGCAACGACAGAGTGTACAGACAATTCGAACAAGTGAGGAACATATCACAAAGGCGATAGGAGAAGACAGATTTCAGTACCAGACAAAGCTTATCGATAAACTTGCCTCCGATCAGAAAAGCTTATTCCGTCATGCAGCTTCTCTCCGACAAGCCGAAACCAGAGTTTCCCAACTGCTAGGTCCTGATAGCGCAACCAACAACGACGATGATGTCACCCATCTTCTGGCAAAATAGTACACTCGGAAATTTCAAGCGACCCACATCAACTACATGGATGAAAACTTCATCTGCAACTGCACGGGGTTTTCAGAAGTAAACCTGATCGTTGACTTGATGTTACGGAAACTGCAGTACCTGAAAAAGACACTTCTCCTGGTTCGGATATGGTCCATTCTGCTATACGGAGGGGGAGGCTTCAATCCTGGAAAAACAGCTCGATATGATGTTTTCAAATGCAATGAACCGAGGCACATTACCGGAAAATTTGAAAGATGGCCCACACCACACAAATTTTCAAATTAGTTTTATGCAAAGAAGCTTCAGACTATCGACCGGCAGTCCTTATTTTCACACCCTCAAAAATTATGAATTCCCTTACATGCGAAGACCTACATAACTACTCATTATCCATAAACTTCTCACCACAACCATATATGTCTTATCAATAAGCTCAAACGATTGGGTATCAAACTACCTCTAATTGAATGGCTCACTTCATGCATAAAAAATCGACATTTCAAGGTCAGGGTTAAGTTCACATTCTCTCAGGCTATGGAATGTCCTGTTGGGGTCCCTCAGGGATCAATACTAGAACCTCTTCTCTTCTTGATTTATATAAACGATCCACAACAAGTATCGTCCGACTTAATACTTTTTGCTGATGATGTGAAACTTTGGATAATGGTAAGCTACCAAGAGGATATGCTGGCACTTTAGGAGGATCTGACTCGACTTCAAATTTGGGCAGACGGCAACGGACTCACCTTCAACACTTCAAAGTGTAAGGTTGTCCATCGGCGACATGTTGCAGACTGCAGTTAGGAAACTTCGCTCTAGAAGTATCCCAAGGCAAAAGAGATTTAGGAGTGCTGACACCCTAGGACTTGAAGTCTTACGCTAAATGTGAGCCAACCTTGCACTGGTAACATTGTGGCACATTTTTGGTCAGTTTGACGGAAGAACTTTCCACATAATCTTCAACAGTTTTATCCGTCCACATTTAGAGTACGGAAACATAGTATTTCCTTCCTCACTCCAAATAGATAAGGTAACTCTGGAGCGTATCCAACGGCGAGCCACGAAATCAGTTCGGGGACTCAAATTCAAACCTTATGAAGAGCGCCTCCAATCACTTAACCTTTACCCGTTAGAGCGTAGGCGTCTTAGAGGTGACCTTCTTATGGCTTACAGCATCCTGAATACTTCTGGACATCCCCTTGAACATTTACTTATGTTTAGCTCCACCACAAACCTAAGGGGTAACGCCCAGAATCTAGAGACCGAACATAGGAGAACAGACTGTAGACACAACTTTTACTCCTTAAGAGTAGTCAAATGCTGGAATTCCCTAACGACTAAGCGAGTCCAGGCGATTTCTTAGGAGTCCTTTAAGAAGAAACTTGACCTATTCTTAGGGATTAAAGATAATATCTTATTATGATTCACCAATTTTGTTTTTTCCTCTATCATCGTTAGTACACCTAGGTTCCTGCCTGTGGGTATTAGTGATCCACTGCTACTAGATACGGAAACCCGTTAAGCGAAACTTTTTTCTATTCCATCCAGAACCAATTGAATTTATACAAACGAAGTATACTAAATCAGAGAAGTCAGAAGTCCGAACTAAATTCGTTCGAATTTGTATTTGGAAGACTTTCGATATATCGAGAGTCTTTTGGTCTTACCTGTCTAACACTTGCAAGTGATGCGTAGCTTGACCTAATGGTGAGCTGGTGCGGAAGCATTCAACTAGATGTAAGCATAAAAAATAATGAGGTTAGTGTCAGTAGTTATTCCGGGATTTTATTTGCGCTACAGAACGTAAAATAAAATAGGAATGCAACCACATGATGAGTCATATAGTGAAACTTGACAAACCTTTCAAAGTGTAAGCTGATCCGAATTCAGTAAATGGTCAAGGCCTAGTCTATATTGAGGCACAAAAAGCACGATGTAATTCGGACGTAGCAGACACAACGAAAATTATTTAATCAACGTAAAAATACAAACTTTACGGTCGATAAATGCAAATATATTTAGAAAAACGGTGTATTTGCTAATACAATATCAATGAAGCAAGTAAATAAAAGTTTCTATAATGATCTTACAAACTATTACAACTTTTGGTCTCCATAACCTTAAATTCGAAACTGTATCCAAGATACGCTACTGCTGCCCAATTAAATCTGGATCGTTTGATGACTTCTGAGGACTACACAATGACAAAGTTCGAAGACTATTATTGGTTAGTCGAAGGCTTGGGAAGGTACAAGCTAATCTAAATTAACGTTTAAACATTTATAGAAAACCTATTCAACCACAGTATGCTGTTTAGTCTTAGATAATCTGCTTTTCTTCACTCTTCTTAAAATAATGAAATTTTCTACAGATATAGTGGTACTTTTGTTGCATTATGCATGGAACGCAGGACGAAATTGTTGTATGCTGTTAAAGGGATACAAAAGAACGTTACAAAACTTGATAGACTTAACATTAAACAGTTGACTTCTCAAGGAAAGGAAGATATAAGTCATTTGTTGAAGCTTGATCATCAAAATCTGGTAGGTGTCTTTAGTGGATTTTAAGTAAGTTTGTAGGTGAAATTGAAGGAAGTTTTCGAAACATCTTTCTCATGGCATATAGTTGTTGAATTTGCAAGTGGTGAAGAACTCTTCCAGAGGTATATTATTTTCCAAGGAGCCATAATAAATCTCCATATTTCTCTTTTGTAAAGTTCTTAATTGCATCACAGATTAATTTAAAATAAATTTTTGCTCGTTATTATTTATTTATAATAGGTCTACTCATATTCATTATATAATAAATTTCAGAATATGGTCATCAAAGCTCTAAATTATTGTCAGAAAAAGGAACATCGGCGCTGGAGTAACTATATTTATATTGCCTCAAATTCGTAGGTGAATTAGTGAAATATGTTGCAGGGCTTCTTAAGCAAGGATAAAACAGTATTATTGGTAAATATTTTAGATAATGATATCAACCTATTCACAAACCACCTTTTTTTACCTAGTCATTTCTGTATGTGTGGTTCTTGAGTCGTCACGCTTCCAAACTAACCTGGTCGATAGTGACCATTTGTAATACCCGTCGCTCAAAAGGGTTGCAGATTAAGTTTCAATATTAGTTTCATGTATTGGGTCAGAAGTCCCACAGTCTGCCCCAGTCGTTTTCTAATGAGCTTCTGTGGTTATATAGCCTTTTATACAATGTATCAATTGAAGGTATGAGCATCATTTCTTTGAGTAGAAGACTTCAAGAGCTGACGACTTAGTCTGAAAACTTTTATCAAACCGATAATTTAATCGTCCTTGGTTTTCGAACTCACCTTCAATATCTTGTGAGTTATTCTGGTCAAAAAGAAAAAAAAATATGTCAATTTCGAAATCATTTGCCGACGTTCTATACATCTAAACCAAATCACCACATAATCAGCGGTAAGACAAATTATGAAAAGTAACTGTTAGTGTTCAAATAAATTCAACCTGGTTGGTAATGATCAGCTCCACACGTTATATAACTGTATGCAACACTATTCGTTTCATCGCAGGGTTCTATTGATATTCATCATTTTGTCCCGACGCTTTGCTTTAAGAGAAATTTACTGTGGATTATTAAAATATACTTAAGGTGAAACTGGTCAAATATAAAAAAGTTTATTTTGAACATATGGTTTTGAAGTATACAGTATATCCGTAAAATAATTAGAAACGTGGACCAATTTTTCATTTATGTTTTTTAAACGTAAAGCTTATAATTTGTGCATATTGTTGAAGGAAGACCAGTGGCTCACCACCAAAACTCCAGAAACGTTGTGGTTAAAACATTTTCCGGTACTCTTTTTAGTAATTCTGAATACTTTGGTATGTGACGTAGTATACCAGTAAGTTAATCTAATGTTAGGATCAATTTATATGATATGACAGAAGTAAAATAAGCAACAATTCAAAATTGTCAGAATAGTATATCACTACTGTCGAAAACCGCTAATTTTCGACCAGGCCTAATAAAAGCAGTTACGAACTCTTCATACGGGTTTACATTTTTTCACTGTCTATATTAGGAACTGCAGTTAATCTGTCTGTGTTGACACATGTGTATTCTGGATGGATCGCATTGATAATATTTCTCGATCACAAGTATTTAGTATATTTGGACTATGGTCAGGAGTGCAAGTCAGGACGGGGATTAAGTCTTATTTAAGATATATCACTCGGTTGTACCCAATATCCTAGTGAAACTGTTAACAATCAGATTCACTATTCAGTCATGATGCATGTAAACCAAAGAAGGTTGATTGATAACAGTCCTAAGCATCAACACCGACAAGATGTAAAATCTTGCAAGCGACTTCATGTCTGCTGAACAAGTGGATGCCTGGACTCAGTATATTTGTGGATGACGCATTGAATATTCAAGTAGTAAGTAATGGGTATGAATCCTAATAAGAATATTAACACTGAGATGCAGTTATACGTGGCTGATTAGTCTCGAATAGGATAAAACGCGGGTCAACCACAATAATATTGACGAGATTAAAATCTCGTCAGTGTTTATAACGGATCTTGTTCACTCAAAAACTTCAGTATTCAAACCCATGTTATTCCGCCCTTAAGAATATTGGTTGATTTTAATCAATCATCAATTCTTTTCTTGTTCCCTCAATTTAGATTAACTAAATTTCCTGTGTATAACGAAAAAACAGTTCTTCATTATTTCAGACAAGTGGTTGATGGTATCAGATACTTACATGAATATGGAATTATTCACAGAAATTTAAAAGTATGTATAATTGTTTCCTAGGCTACTTAGAGTTTTGCTGCCATACATTCAGAGCGACACAGAATGAACTGATGATCAGTGGAAGATTTAAAAGCACTAGATTTGACTTGTGCACGATTTGACAAGACAAGATGATGTTAAGGTAAATGGATGGTTATAATCAATGCAAGCAGATAACAGGCACGATTACTCCCTCAAATTGTTTTTATATTGCAAACATTTAGACCGGTCAAATATCGCTGAAATTAGCATCAATATTCCGTATTGCGATCGACCATACCAGCATATTTTGTAAACCCATTTAGTGGGGATTCGAACAGATAAGAGCATTGATATATCATTTTAATAAGGGACTGTTTTGAACCTAAAACTAAGAACAAAATATTTACTGTCATTAGTTGTGAAACCACAAAAATTTACTGAGTGAACGAACTCGAGACATTTTTCAAAATCATCTGTAATAAACACCTTAGTACTAGTCAGATTTTGACTATTTTATCATTACTTGAACATCGAACTTAAAAGGTTCTTTCATCTCTGTTAGATTATGAATAAAATATATGATTGTATACCGATTATGGCTTCATTCATCGATAGAATTTGCATTATTCTAAAATTGATCTGGTTGAGATACTAGTATGGACTAGACGGACAACTTCTATCTTAAGGTTTCTTAAGCTTCGGTTCATTTGCTTTGTTGAAGTCTGCTGACTTTACAAAACGGATTAGAGATCATTCAAGGAGACAGACACTATGAGAAAACACTACTACCATTCCCAGTTGGTAATACCCAGTGTATTCATTTGATAATAAGAACATATTGAATTGATAACCAGCAGATTGGAAGATAATGTGGTTCTCTTCCCACAGTATTTCGGGAATCAATCAGCAGCTCTAAAAATAAAGGTTGACATGGTGGAGAAGATTTGTAGCTCAGGTGGGTGATTTTGATGTTGGTTTTTTCTCTGAGCTGGATGGTTTGGTCGTGGAGCTTTCAACTTCGGATAGAAGTTTGTGCTGATGATGTCGTTCAGAAGAACGATGAAAGCTCCACGACCAAACCATCCAGCTCAGAGAACAAACCAACATCAAAATAAAGGTTGACACCTGACCTTTAGCTAGGACAAATTATTGTTTGACTAACATACAACACTATGAATTTGTAGCCAGTTTAAATTACGTTGATTAAAGAGAAAATGTCGCCCAATAAAATAACCGGGAAAACAAATCAAAATGTTTACTAAACCGCTGCTTTCCCGCTTAACATTCTTAAGTGTCAGTATTGATTATCGAACAAATAATCGACTTTCGCCAAGAATTTTCAAATCAAACTAACCAATAACTGATACCATCTTCAAATTTCAATGGTAATAATTGCCAAAGCTATTGAACATTTTTGATGAATGAAGTATACGAATTTTTCATAAAATATTCTATGAATTTACAAATATTTAGGTGACGACTTGATATACTCATAATGTGACCTTGGGATGCATGTTATATGTTTTAGTCAATAAGTATCTTAACAATCAAACTTTAAAATGGTTTCCATGATTATTGAAAATTTTCACTGAATAATCTGCCTATATACTGACTAAATTGATTCATAAAAAAGTGTCATAGACGTTACTTCCAGAAAATGTTTATAAATTATGTAGTATCAGTCACTGGCATAACTTATTTTGTCCAATTCAACATCCGGAATACTGTTACTACTTTCTTCTACCTAATATAAAAAATGGTTCCATTTGCTGTCAAAATTATTATGCTGGCGAGCATCCATACCCAATTTCACACAAAAGCTCAACAACAGATTTCATACTTTCTCACTGATTACCTCAAATACTTCACATTCATAAATTCCTAGTTTCAAAGATCCTTTAATACGGTATAGATAAATATACTGTGACTATCGGTTAAACTTAAGTGGTGTCTTGTAGCTGTTTAGTTGCATTTCAAAATTCTACAACTGATGCAAATGTGTAATATGCAATCCGACTACAATCATGATATTTCAGCTAACAAAATCTGACGTACTACTCGAGATGATCACCACCAGATCTAAGATTTTGGATCTGATAGCTTGAAGAATCTTGAGTCTAAGCAACGTAAGAGTTGTGATATTGTTTTGTTTGTGTGAGAAATATACAGTCCTCAAAAACAACTGTTTATTTTTTCAATTATTTCAGCCTGAAAACATACTGTTGAGTACCAGAGACAGTGATGCGATTGTAAAAATTAGTAAGTATGGAATATATTGACATCATTACTTCGGTCATTCTCTTCATGATCACCAAAGTATGTTAACTTCCAAGGCCTAATAGCAAGTTTGTTTGACTTGGTAAATTATAGAAACGTTTAACAAGATGTCGATACTTTATCTGGTAAAAATGCTGTTCACTTAATTCATTAGTTAAGCCATGCCGTCCAGACCTTCACGTGTGTCCATATATCGATGAATAAGCAGTGAGATGAATGCGGACAAAAAGTTAGTTATTTTGACGTCACACACATTTTACTGTAGACTACAAATCGGCATTCAACCGATTTTCTAGTATTTCCATTCACCACATGCAGCTATTCGGATAGAAGCAAATTCGATAGATATCACCAGTGTCTGACACTCTGTCCTGAAATCAGTTAAGAGATATCGTATTAGAATCATTTCATCTAGACGTGTCCATTACTCTTTGGATAAAAGTGGATGACACATCCATATGTTTATATTACAGCAAAAAGTAATAATTTTTTATTTCAAACTTTTAGAAGTGACAACTTATTGAGATATGTGTCAAAGCTCTATGTTCGCAGTAAACATTTGTAAAGCTTTTGACTAGATTAATGGGAATTGAGTTTAGTTCTATTTCTAGAGACTAATGTCAGATGACTAGTGATTCTTGGTTTACCACTTGATTTTTGATTGATTTCAATAACGAATACATCTCAATCAATCAGTTTTCCACAACTTCTGCCTAGCCCAGTCAGTTAAGTCCAAAACACCAATAACAGCCCTTGTGGTATGAATCATTGTATTTGAAACATATTGAGTTTATATACCAAACATACTGACCACATCGTAACAATAAAATAGAAAATAACATTTGTACAAGAGTTAGCCAAATGTGGCTGTGAATAAGGGTGCAGTAATTAATAGACTGGGTATAACTCAGGAATGGTAAATCGTACAATAATAGTTCAAGGATGAAAATAAAGCTCACAATGAAAGGAACATGAATATGAGTGGTTTAATTATTTAGCAACTAAACGATAAAAATTATATGCATAAATGGATCCCAAAGTTACCATTCACTATTGTTATCGGGATATAACAATAATAAAATAAATATGCTTTTTCATTACTGATCATTTTTAGAAAGCATAGTGAATTTGTCAGTTTCAACCCTATCAAGGTATCCGTTTAATAATATCATATAACTGCTGAGACTAATTAGTTTACTCGTATGCATAGGATCAGAACTATTTCAAAGCTTATCTAATGATCGCTGAAATAGGTAATACAAACTGTGTTTGATTACGCAATGTCAACAACTATGTTTACATCAAATGCTTTTTAAGTAAGTGATGGATAAACAAATGAGCATTACATAAGGTTGAAATAGTTCATTGTCTAAAACATTTTCATCACCTTATTTTAATCAATCTAAATATTTTTGTTTCGTTTTTTTTCTTCTTTCCAGCTGATTACTCTCCTCAATTATTTACAACTGCTGATTTAGATTTAGAGTTGGTATGCTTGACGGCAACATTTTGTGCACCTGAATTATTATTAAGTAGATGTTATGATAAAACTATTGATTTATGGTCACTAGGTATACTTTTGTATATAATGTAAGTAATATTACATATATAATTATTTAACATTAATTACATAATCAAGATGATATTATATTACTAGATGTATATTTTCCTTCAAGGATGCGTACTGCTGAGGAGTTCCATAATTGAACGAAACGGCCGTCCAGTGCTTGCAGGTTTTTCATGGTGGTTTACCTTCAATTGACTTATGATTTCAACTACGAAAAGACTGAAATATCCACAAAAACCCCCTCTGATCTATTTTCCTTCAGTTGAAGAAGTCAGAGAAAAATCCCTAATTCTGACTACAATCAAGTAGATAACTTCTGAATTGCTTGCTAATAGTTAATAATAGGGGGTGGGTGGAATCAGACCGTCAACAATTGAAAAGAGAAATGACTAGAAAATACAAGCTAAAGTGATAAATTTACTACGTATATCGAACCTTTATTGTATAAAATTATATTATTTAACTGGTAGGTAGTTCCTTCAAGTTTATATTTGATATGGACATTCGTTCAACTTTATTAATCATTTTTCACACTTTATGGCAAGCAGAGATGGATAGTGGCTAGCAGTTTCGTCCTATTTGGGACTCGTCAGCTGGATGTACCTGCATCTCAGAGCTAATGTTCACTCTGGGACTCGAACCCAGTACCCTCGCTCCAAGCGCCATCGCGATATCCACTCGGCTACTGAGTCCTGATAGCCACTTGCTTGTGCGATGGGGTGAAGTTTAAATTCATTTAGTATTGTTTGTTTGAATCTCCCCATCGATGTGTTAGGACTGCAACTGGTCAGTCTCTAATTGGTATATGTGCATACTGTGCGTATTGCCTCGATATAGCCTTAATTCACAATTATGGTAATCAGAGATGGATAGTTTTCACACATTTACATTTGGATTTAATGGTAATTATTCTTGTTGGAATTTTCGTTTCCCTAAATATTATTATAAAATTTGGTGAATATCAATAACGGTCAAAATATGGTAGTTCACAAAGTGAATGTATTCTGTTAATTAAAAGATATTCACTTAGCTAATTTAGATTATACTTTTTGCACATCATCATCATCATCATTATAAGAAGAAGAAGAAAAAGAAGAGGAAGAAGAATAAAAAGAAGAAGAAGAAGAAGAAGAAGATGATGATGATGATGATGATGATGATGATGATGACAATTACGATGAATATTAAATCAAAGCCTCATAGGAATATCACAGGTAACTGATTCATAGCATATAGGCATTTTTTAATCAATAAGTAAACAATAGAAAGTTTCACCTGAGGTTTTAAGTAGGATGATGAAGCACTACTGTTATGAATCTGTTCATTTCAACTAATCAATTAGTTATATGTAACGTGAAAGCTAGCACATTTATGCATCAGTTGAAGTTGCCATGTCATATTAGCACAGAGAGATTCGGTAGTAGTTTAGGTTGTAACAGTATTTGTGATAGTAGAAAAAGCTGGACATGTAAAGTTACCATTTGAGAAAAAAATATTAATTCATGAAACAAACGAATTATGGGATAATTTAGAAAATTATCCGTGAGTTTAATTGAGTAAAAACTGCAAAACCTATCCATCAGGTCATTATACCTGTTTAACAGTTCAAAACATTTGACATGAACAACAAGAATAACTCTACACAGACACAACAACGTCTTGGAGATGTTCAGACGTTCAATATCGAATAGTGAATAGATGTTAAGAGATCGAACTTGTCTGATAAGAAATCATGAACTTAGATTTCCAACTGATTTATAGAATTCAACCAGTATTAAGAACTAGACAAACATAACGTTAATTACAATTCTGTGGTTAAATAATACGAATAATTCAGTCCTAATGGTCAGTTGTAACCCGAATTGCTTGGTGATAACGTCTCAGATGTAATTGGCCTAAAAGTCTTCGGTTTTACCACAGAACTTCTGATGAGTGACGAAGAAGAAGAAAATTAACTGATTGTTCTATGGTCTTCACCAGGATTTCAAGTGCTATTAGTCTTCGGTCAAAGATATGTTCACCTGAAGCTATTCCTTATAGTGAATTTTTTTTTAAATTTTTACCATATAAAAATTGTTCTATTCTTAGAAGCAGATTAAAAAGAATATTATATGGTTTCTGTAACATTGATACTAAACCGATTCGTCGATTTGTAATACTCAAAGATTGTCAGTTGGGACAATACTATTCGTCTATACAACTAGACTCCATAATGAAGTTAGATCTAACTCAGACTCAGCAGTTTCAGAACTTGTAGGCAGGTTTCTAAAGTGATGGATAACAGTCGTATTTCTCGGAGTTATTCACTTGTAACAATTCTCCTCATTTCTTCAAATGAAGATGTTGGTGTGAATGACTGTTCATGACCAATAAATTTTAGATCAAACTTTTAGAAAAATATCAAACCAACTTACAACATGATAATCATACAAATAAAAATTTTAACGAAGTAAAGAGAAACACTATTTGAGATTGATTTTCGAGCTCTCCACCTGTAAAACAGAATTTTACGTCTACTTTGCACTGTCTCATGATTTAGTAACCGGACATAAAGTGTAGACGTGTGTTAAGTGATTGGGTTATTTCTGAAGTTGCGCCAGCCCCCTTCAGGTGATCATAAATAAAATCAAGTTTGGGATACAGAAACGTTTGAACTTTTTGGGTTTATTTATCCATGTAAACGATATTCATCAATTGATTATAGGTGTCTTGAAAACACGGGTTACCTTTGATGGAATTGTGAGGTATGAAATATTTGGGCTTTATTTTAGACTAAGTTCAAAGAAATGTGAGAGTGGTCAGATACAAATAATGTTGAGAAAATAAATGGTCTCTACTTAACATCCTTCTCTACTGTGACTATAGATACTACTATAACTAGTTAGAATGAGTCTTTTGAATGTTTCTACATTTTTTTAAGAGGGAGTAGATCAGAAAATTCGGTATAATTTTGAGTTTTACCTGCTAATGATACCTAAACATCTAGTCATCAAATACGTTCCTAAATTCTTTTACTACTTATGAGTAGTCTAAAAATGTTAATTTCGGTTATTGGTGTGTTTTTTTAGGTTATGTGGAGATGATCCTTACCAATTGAAATCTGGTAGTGATTTATATCGTGCTATACTTCACTGTGATATTGAGTTTAAATCTACTTCATGGAAATCAATTAGTTTAAATGCTCAAGATGTTGTGAAACATCTTTTAATGGTAGATCCAAAACTAAGAATCATTACACCACATTTACTGAATCATCCATGGTTTATTATGGTTAATGAAAATGAACAACATTTAGATTCAGTACAAGAGAAACTAGAATATTTTAACAAACAACGTTCAGAAAACGTATGTATTCCTGAATTAAATAACTTTGTTTTTGATTGATTGATTCTCTATAATTTGTACCATGATGATTTATTTTGTTGATTGGTTAGAAGTTAATTAGGAACATTAATGAGTGAAGTATAATCTATATGATATAACTAAGATCTACTACAATTCAATCAGTGATATGTGAAAGAATAATATAATTCTAAGTTTAGATTCACTTAGTATGGTTTGTTTGGCTATCAGAACTCAGTAGCTGAGTAGATAACGCAATGGTGTTTGAAGCCAAAAGTACTGGGTTGGAGTCCCAGAGTAAACATCAACTCTGAGATACAGGTACATCTAGCTGACGAGTTCGAAATAGGACGAAACGCCCGTCCTGGATTCCACTGCTATCCACTATCCATTTTTGTTTATTACTCTAAGTTGTTAATCACCAGCTATACAATCAAAGTGTATTTAAAAGAATCTCAATGCATATACATGAGAATAAAGAAATGTATTAGAGTAATGAGATATATTTGATTAATTCCTATTGAATATTCATTTATTTAAAGTATTTCAATATAGAATATGAACAAGATTGGATAACATGTGAATATATGAAGTTACCAAGAAGAAGTAAAGAAACAATTCAAACGAAGGCTTATAATGAAAATGTAGAAACCGAAACATTAATGGATGATAAGGTTAGTCAACTAATTGATTGATCCTAGAAATAACAGTAATGATAATGATAATAAACTCACTGCCTTCTCGTGCCACTACTGTTGTTGACCAAATCGAGAGAACGAAAAGCGAATGTCAAAATCTGAAAAACATGTTTTGTCCGACCAACTGGGAAGTACTTACAGATGACTCAATAGGAAACACAACGGATGTTATCACCTCTTATCTTAAATTCTGTTTTGATATTTGCTGTCCTACCGAAACCTTCTTTTTAAGTTTTGATCGACTTACATCTCCACAACTAAAACGACTACGGAGGGTAAAAGAAAAGATGTACAAGGAGAAAAACACTATTGAAGTTCGTAAGTTAAATGGTCAAATAAACCAAGAGATTAGACGTCTCAATTCTGTGTTCACTCAAAAACTCCTATCTTGTAGAAGCTCTCCAAGTATGTGGAAAATCTTTAAAGAAATTACAGGGGACAGGCAGACTAGAAGCGATAACCAGCTAAATGTTTGTGACTTAAATAAGTCCTTTATTCGTCAGTAATCTGACATCATGCTCCCTATATCCAAGGGTTTGAAGAATAATTGTGTCCGCAGATTCACTGAAAATGATGTCCGGAAATGTCTTCAGTCTCTGAATTCATCCCAATGTTTAGGACCTGATGGTATCCCAAACCTCCTTTTTAAAAAATGTGCTGATGTTTTATGTTATCCATTAACGAATATCTATAACAGATGCTTCTCAACTAATGTCTTACCGAAAATGTGGAGAAAGATAAAGGTAATCCCTATACCTAAGAAAGCTTCTGGTGATAAAAATGAGAAACTTAGACCCATAGCAATAACCTCACATTTCCTCAAAATAATGGAAAAATTACTGATACAACCACTTCAACCTGCAATAAAAGAGCACTGTGATCCATTTCAGATTGCTTACAAATGCAAAAGAAGCACATTAGATGCCGTTGCTGTTCTGCATCACAATATAGTGTTGGGGTTGGAAAAGCGTAAGAAATATGTTAGATGCGCTTTTCTGGACTTTACTTCTGCTTTTGATTCTACTCCAAGACACCTCTTACTTAACAAGCTGATCAGCGTCGATGCTGACAGCTGGATAACCAATTGGCTATGTTCCTACCTTTCTGGAAGAGAACAGTACACTGTCTTTGAAGGAAAGTGTTCAACATCTCTACTGTCTACTGTAGGTGTGCCACAAGGAGCTGTTCTTTCACCTCTGCTCTTCTCTTTCTTTTTGCATGATCTGCCATCTTCCACAGAAAACACTTTTGTAAAATATGCGGACGACCTCACTGTATGTATGCCAATTTCTACCTCCTTAAATCTCATAGAAATGAATGAGTTTTTATCTCGTATTTAAATGTGGTCTGTTGGTAATGGTCTCTTACTCAATCCATCTAAATGTCAAGCTGTTAATTTTAACTTGAAACATGGACAGAACCTATACTCTATGTTGGGATCCCATCATGCTTGTGTCATTGGAGACTCCTTAACAAACACAGTGTCGAGGGTCAAATATCTTGGTGTTACTTTTTCCTCTGATCTTTCTTGGTCTTCTCATGTTTTACTGTTATCGAAAAAAGTTTACCGTTTGACATACTACATAAAGAGGCTGCATGCTTTTGGGATTACTCGCCATTTACTCTTACAATTTGTAAATTCCTGCATATTACCTATTATTTTATATTGTTCTCCATTATTCTTTCCTGGGCTTTTGAGAAAAGACTTTGCTGTTTTGCGTAGAATGCTGAAGGCAGTTTGCAAGGTATGTGGTGAATCTTTTGAAGTCATTGTTAATATGCTTGTGGATAGACATCTTAAGGCTTGCAAACTCTTGGCAGGTGTTATCTTATCAGATACTAACTATCCGCTTCATTCATATCTTTCTCCTTGTATATCTTCTGGTAGAACGAGACGTAAATACATTAAAATTCATGCACGCGAGCAAATCTATAAAAGTTCTGTAATACTTTACTTAGCTAATTTACTTTGTGACGAACAGGCTGTTAGAGTTGACCTAGTAAATAACCTGTACTCTTAAGCATGTTTCAATTTTGATAATTTGTATAAACTCAGATTTTCTTAGACCTTTTTTCATTCCTTTTCTGTTTTTTTTTGTTTTTTGGTAAAAAACTTGTTGAAATAACTCGTGCTGAGAATTCTATATTGTACCAGATTATAATATTGAATAAAGCCATTATTAATAATAATAATAATAATAATAATAATAATAATAATAATTTAACCGGGTTGGTGGACACGGAAAGTCCACCTAGGGGAGTTGGAAAACTCTGATTTCAAACCAATGATGCACATGGGCTCCAGTATACTGAAAGAACAAATGGCGTATGAGTTAATCGTTAGTCAGCGGCTACAACGAGACTGCATCTCCTCACGATGCTCCACTGCCTTGTGGATCAGACCTCTAGGTCAAAGGCTCCGGGTGTGGCCCCCTAAGAAAACCACCTGCTTCAGTTTGGGAAACTGGACAGTATCACAACCCTCACACAAATCAAATGAGATTTGTGTGACGGATATGTATCTGGTGCTTTTTGTACCAAAATTTATGTGTTTAAATAAATAAATAAATAAATTATAATAATCAGTTTACTTAATATAACGTATCTTGAAGAGAAAAAAATAAAAGATTTATTAGAAGGGGGTTTTGTAGAGATTGTAATAATTTTATATCTTTGAGATCATGAGTCAATTGAAGCTAGACCACCATGGTAAACCTGGAAGCACTGGACGTCTGTTTCGTTCTATTATGGGACTCCTCAACGGTACATCTCCACCATTCTAATAAATCAGTGATAATAAAAATCTATTAAAAAGAAATAATTTAACATTAAAACAAATTCTAATAATAAAATAAACAGTTTGAATATAATTCTTCTTTAACTGAGAAGTTATTTATACAAATATAAATGAAATATCACAATTGATTGATCACTGGGTGGTGATCAATGTCATGCATGTCAAGTCATTTCATTTGTCATTTATAATCTGTTTGATCAAAATGTTGTGTAAACTTTTTAAACTTTGTATAAATTAGAACTGTAATGACAACGTATTACTTGAAGATACATCAGAGAATGTTCAACCAATTGAACAAAATGATCCAAATGAGATGGTAAGATATAAGTAACCATAGAAATTGTGTATAATATCTAGAAAACATGATTTCATTTATTATTCAAATAATTATTGCATATTACCACAGAGATACTGTATCATGACCACTTAAGACTAGATTAGTTGTCATCGCAAGTTTGTTGGTATGACGTTCATACAAAAAGAACGAAGAATATGTAATTCTTATGTGTAGTTTAGGAATTGTTATCACTACTTAACTGTTTTTGGTGTCGTTAGAGGATCTGGGATAGGTAGTTTAATAACCGAGTTCTTATTTTGTCTAGAGAATCAATTAACCATTTTTTAAAAATCAACCTCAAAAAAATGAAGTGGATAGTCTCAGCATATGTGAAAGTATCTCGGAAATCACTACAAGTATTTTAAAACCTTTTTTAATCATTATCGCTTATAAATCAATCCAAAGATATCAATCCGCTTTTTACAGATCAAAAGATAAAATAGACAATGGAAACAAATGCACCATCATGTACAGCATAAGTTGTAAAAGCTGAGTCAAGAGAATTCTTAGATTATCAGAGAATTTCCAAATGTATGGGATATAGATTAATCTATAATTAGAAGACATATCTAGGTGGATCCGATCTGTCAAGTGATTCAGAAAAGATCGATCAATAACTTGATCAGAGGTCAACAGAATATGACGATCAACTTGAATGCAAGAATTAAAGAAGATAAAACGTACAAAGTCACAAGCTAGGTGACCAGAACAAACTGATTAGACACTTGCAGGATAATCGTGAAGTTCACTTTGTTCTTTTTTTGTACTTTTGTTTACATTATATTTGTAGGCGTTCATCAAAAAAACTTATTTTAATGTTACAGCTGAAGTTAATGACTAATGCGCTTGAAATATAACCCTTTTGTCTTTGGAGATTTCAGATCAAAACAAGAGTTCCTCTTATTATTTAAATATTAAGAAGTTATATATGATAAGCTTATCTGCAGCATATGTAAACACAATAAAGATGTAAATAAAAAATAATAACATTTCTGACGTTTTGTGACTTACTGTAAGCCACTTCTTCAGAGAATAAATAAACAACTCGAATTAACCCAAGATTAAATAGTACAAACGAACAAAACAAGAATATTAGTTGCGATCAATCAAAAGAAGGTCTCACCAAGTCGACATCTTTTCATTCCGGTTAAGGTGATTTATATGAGTCATGTTTATTTATTTGTATGTGTATGTAGAGTAAAGGATGAAAAAATGAGACAATTGTGGTCAGGAAGGACAGAGTTTAATTTATCTGGTGTGTGAATATAATCAGGTATCGTAGCTTGGATAGATGGTCCAAGGCGGAGGGATAGCTAGGCCTTCTTTTGTATTGAGGGCACTGAGATTAAGCAATATGTGAAAAGCTTCAGCTACTCGCCTTTCTTTGTAGATGAAAAGACCTTTTTGTATTATTCCGATGTTAATATCGAGTTGATGGTAGTTTAAAATGGCATAAACTGCTATTGCCGATTTAACTTGGAGTCTTTCCAGTTCTACGGGATTATTAGGTGGTTTCTTTGTCTACCTAAGATATTTTTTGGTCCGAGTCTAGATTTCATAAGATAACTCTCCAATGTAGAAGGCACCACAATCGACACACTTAATTGTGACTACTACCGCATGGAACAGTTCATGGTGTGCAATTAATTGATGCGCATTTGTTGTCCTTGGCCTTGACAGGGATCAATGAACCGTTCGACATTCAGTGACCCAAATGTCAGGTGATATGGCTAGGGTTCAGTAACATTTCACTGACCTCACAAATATCTTATTTTATTTAAAATAATTAACCCAATGCTCTTTTTATTTGAAATCATCAAGTTAAATCTTGATAATAATATCTGTAAACAATAATGATGTGTTTTGAATAACAAAAGTGTTTAGTATTGTCATTATACGTTACTATAAAGTCTTCCCAATTAAGATACTTGGATATGTGTTTTTCGTTAACCATCTATCATTGAACCGCGATGTGACATCATATTTATTAAGCTCGACGGCCTCATTCATCAAGTACAATCATTTCTAAGGAGTATAAATCATACTTTACTGTTATCTTATGACAATTTATATCCGGAATTTAATCTTCCAGGCATATGTATTACATAGTTGAAAGCGTGAGTCAATTAAAGCTAGACCACCATGGAAAACCTGTAAGCACTGGATGGCCGTTTCGTTCAATTATGGGACTCCTCAGCAGTGCGCATCCACGAATCCACACTAGCGACTGGTAGGTCCTGGGTTCGAATCTCGCGAGGCGGGATCATGGATGCGCACTACTGAGGAGTCCCATAATAGAACGAAACAGCCGTCCAGTGCTTCCAGGTATTCCTGGTGGTCTAGCTTCAATTGACTCATGATTTCAACTATGAAAATACTAAATCTCCACAATACCCCTTTCTGATAATTAATATGTATTACATTTTGTTACTCCGCCTGTAGCTCTTCTAGAGTTACTACCGGTCCCAAGCCCGGGTAAAGGAGGAGGGTTGGACATGGGGTTAGCGACCCCATCCCGTAGAAAAGCTAACTCGCTAAAAAAAACACTAACCAGAAAAAATAATTCAAACCATTTAAACTCTACCCTGGGAGTTGAACGAATAATTATGACGTCTCATGATGAAAGCCGAAATTCTTCGGAAGTCACGAGACCGATGCACCTTCTAACAACCAGAGCAACACTCTTTATAGGTACATGGGACGTCCGGACAATGTGGGAGACAGGAAAGACCAGCCAAATAGCAATGGAAATGAGGAGATACAACTTTGCAGTACTCGAAATCAGCGAAATCCATTGGACACAAGCTGTCAACAAAGGCTAGGTACAGGAGAGGTCCTGCTGTACTCCGGTCACAAAGGGTAAAATGCTCCACACACTCAGGGAGTTGCTCTAATGCTGTCCAAAGAAGCACGAAATGCACTTGTGGGATGGGAATCTCATGGACCCAGGATAATCAAAGCATCATTCAGAACAAAGAAGCAAGGGATCACAATGAACGTTATCCAATGTTATGCACCCACCAATGATAGCAACGACGATGATAAATATCAGTTCTACTCGAGGTTGCAATCAATTATAGAGAAGTGCTCACGAAAGGACCTCACCATCCTGATGGGAGAACTAAATGCTAAAGTTCGAGTGGACAACACAGGATATGAAGATGTAATTGGACGACATGAATTAGGAGAGAGAAATGAAAATGGGGAGAGACTTGCAAACCTATGTGCATTCAACAAATTGGTTATAGGCGGCACAATATTCCCACACAAGCGCATACACAAAGCTACATGGATCTCACCGGACCACACCACAGAGAACCAGATAGATCACATCTGTATCAACAAAAAATTCCGAAGATCAATGGAAGATGTGAGAACCCGGAGAGGAGCTGACATAGCTTCAGATCACCACTGGCTGGTTGTGGCCAAGATGAGACTGAAGCTAAAGAAAGACCGGACAACTGGACAAATAGCACTACAAAGGTTCAATACAGCCTTCCTTCGAGATACTGACAAGCTTCATGAATTCAAGATAACTCTCAACAACATGTTCCAAGCTCTACAGGATCTACTGTATGAACAAGAAACTACTTTGGAGGACAACTGGAAAGGGATAAAAGAAGCACTAACTTCAACGTGTCAGGAGGTTCTTGGTCCTAAGAAGCATCATCACAAGGAATGGATCTCTATGGGAACCCTGGACAAAATTCAAGAAAGGAAGAACAAGAAATTAGCAATTAACAACAGCCGTACACGAGCAGAGAAAGTCAAAGCACAAGCAGACTACGCAGAAGCAAACAGGGAAGTGAAGAAAAGCATTAAAGCCGACAAGCAGAAATACATAAGAGAACTAGCAACGACGGCGGAAAAAGCTGCAAGAGAAGGGAATATGAGACAATTATACGATGCAACGAAGAAATTGGCAGGGAGATATAGCAAACCAGAGAGACCAGTCAAGGACAAAGAAGGAAAGACAATCACTGAGATTCAAGAACAGAGGAAAAGATGGGCAGAATACTTCGAGGAACTGCTGAATAGACCAGCCCCATTGAACCCACCGAACATCGAAGCAGACCACACTGACCTTCCAATAGATGTTACTCCACCAACGGTCGAAGAAGTCAAGATGGCCATCAGACAAATCAAAAGTGGGAAGGCGGCAGGACCTGACAATATACCAGCAGAAGCACTGAAGTCAGACATTGAAATAACTGCAAACATGCTTCACCTTCTATTCAAGAAGATTTGGGAAGAGGAACAAGTGCCAGCGGTCTGGAAAGAAAGATATCTCATCAAGATACCAAAGAAAGGAGATCTGAGCCAATGTGAGAACTACAGAGGCATCAGTTTATTATCAGTACCAGGAAAAATTTTCAACAGAGTGCTGCTGAATCGGATGAAAGACGCAGTAGACGCCGAACTTAGGGATCAACAGGCTGGATTCCGTAAGGATCGATCGTGCACAGACCAGATTGCGACACTACGGATCATCGTTGAACAATCAGTTGAGTGGAACTCATCACTATACATCAACTTCATTGACTATGGGAAGGCGTTTGAAAGCGTGGACAGGAGAACATTATGGAAACTTCTTCGACACTACGGAATACCTGAGAAGATCGTCAACATTATCCAAAACTCATACGATGGACTACAGTGCAAAGTCATGCATGGAGGACAGCTGACAGATGCATTTGCAGTAAGGACCGGAGTCAGACAAGGCTGTCTACTCTCCCCATTCCTCTTCCTTCTAGTGATTGATTGGATTATGAAGACTTCTACATCTGAGGGGAAATACGGAATACAATGGACAGCTCAGAATCAATTAGATGATTTGGACTTCGCAGATGACTTAGCCCTCCTCTCTCATACACACGAACAAATGCAGATGAAGACAGCAAATGTAGCAGCAGCCTCTGCATCGATAGGCCTCCACATTCACAAAGGAAAAAGCAAGATTCTCAAATGCAACACGGAGAATACCAATCCAATCACACTTGATGGCGAAACTCTGGAAGGGCTGGAAACATTCAAGTACCTGGGGAGCATCGTTGATAAACAAGGAGGATCGGATGCAGATGTAAAGGCGAGGATTGGCAAAGCAAGGGCAGCATTTCTACAATTGAAGAACATATGGAACTCAAAACAACTCTCAACCAATTTCAAGGTCAGAATCTTTAATACGAACGTCAAGACAGTCTTACTGTACGGAGCTGAAACGTGGAGAACTACTACGGCCATCATCAGGAAGGTACAAGTATTTATAAATAGTTGTCTACGCAAAATACTCAACATTCATTGGCCGGATACTATCAGCAACAGCGTTTTATGGGAGAGGACGAACCACTTCCAGCTGAAGAGGAAATTAGGGAAAGACGTTGGAAGTGGATCGAACATACATTAAGGAAATCACCAATGTGCATCACGACTCAATCCCTAACTTGGAATCCGGAAGGGAAGCGGAAAAGAGGAAGGCCAAAGAACACACTACGCCGAGAAATAGAAGCCGATATGAAAAGGATGAATAGCAACTGGAAAGAACTGGAAAGGAAGGCTCAGGATAGAGTTGGATGGAGAATGCTGGTGAGCGGCCTATGCTCTTCCACAAGGGGTAACAGGCGTAAGTAAGTAAGTACATTTTGTTACGTACACTTTTACATTAAACGTTAGAGTTCAACACAGTACATATAGAACATTTGACAATTCACCTCTATTAAATTTTTAGAATGAATTAATTGATACAACTTCTGAACAATTAAGAGCGAACTCATTAAAGAATTTACTTCATGAATATCATTTATTAGATGATCAATATTCAATATTCAGTGAAAATGATATACAAGTTAGTTTAGCTTAAATCTTCTTTTTTTTAATGAATTAATCTTTGAATTAACTACAAAGTGTTTAACTAATAAAAGAATAATTACATTTTAAAACTTGTATTCTATTCTAATAAATATAACATTAACACCGTTGGATGCCGGCTCAGTGGTCTATCGGTTAAGTGCTCTAGCGCGAGACTGATAGGTCCTGGGTCCGAATCTCGCGAGGCGGGATCATGGATGCGCACTGCTGAGGAGTTCCATAATAGAACGAAACGGCCGTCCAGTGCTTCCAGGTTTTCCATGGTGCTCTAGCTTCAATTGACTCATGATTTCAACTATGAAAATACTGAAATATTCACAAAAACCCCTTCTGAAATATAAACAAGTTAGACAAATGATACGCAATTGGTATTATATGAGTCTGAAAGTGAACTAGTGCAGTTTCCTCATAAACATAATACAATTCAATTTTCTGAAAACACGAATTATCTCTAAACATTTAAACAGAAAGTGAATATGAGGCAATTTAATTTAATTATCAGAAAATAATTTGGATTAAAGCATGTTCCGTAAAGGATTGTGATGAAGTGCGCCGATTGGTTATTTCCTAACTAATAAGTGTTGGCAGAGACTTGGAGAAAACTTGTGAATCTTCTTATGTTAAGATTATAAATATACTAACATTTTCCTTATTGTGATTCCTACGGTCCTGTTCAACCGTGTTATGATTAGGGGGCTCGACAATTGTTCATTGCTGTCGATGGGTAACTGCCTCAAACCCAACATGGTTCAATTTAACTGGTCACAGCTTCTCATTAGAAGTCCGTAAATAACTCCTTGAAATTAATCACTAGTCAGCGCATGACTGTCATCAGTTCATGAGGTTGGTGGAAACTGTTGGAGATATATTATCACAGAATGACATGATTTGGAGAATTATGGCGAATCAAGCGACATTCGACTGCTACTTTATCTTACTTCAGTACTTATTTTTCGGTAGTTAAAACCCCATACAATGTTAAGATTTCGTAACAATCATGATTCCTCGGGACTATTATCTTTCAGTAAGTAAAACTATCTTTAAACAAACAAATTGTTATTACTTTGTAAATATACAATTGTAGAGCCCTGAAAATAAACTCAATAAAGGGATTTTATCACTGACATATACTACATACGTTGAGTTAAAGAAAGTGTGGAAAGAATTTATTATTACTCGAGAATTTCAATTATCTGAAAACATGCTTTATAAATTCTATCACTATTAATAGTATTTCATTTGACTCTAGTTACTACTATCTAGTGATCGAATGATTTAATCAGAATTGCCTTAGTAATCATATAAGTTTGACTACTGGACAATGGTTTACAATATTATTTTATATCGGTATCTCTGTAGTAAACAGAACACTGTTTGGGGATAATCGAATGCATTTACCTACCGATCGCGCTTCATTTCAGTTCTTTCCTCATCGGTCTTCTGCCAAAATACATTCTATGTCTGACCAACATCATATACCACTTATATGGATATAAGTAGACCACACCACATCTCTCCTAGAAAATTTTTTTTGTAGAATTAGAGGAAATCAGAATAAGAGTGTCTCTAAAAACGTTATTTTGTAGACAGATCATCACAGATCCACGGATAAAATTGAATGAATTAGTTTAACATTTCAAAATTGACCGCCAACTGTTTAATACAAGGAGAGAAATTATCAACCGTGCACACTCATAACGGCTTCAAGTATCGATCAGAGGAATGCAACGTATAGAGACTACTTGGATTTAAATTGTACTTTATCTAAGATCAATCTGTGATGAATATTATCTTAAAGTAAAACAAATCCCTACAAAAATCTAGTCGTCATCAATATGTTCATGCTCAACAGTAACCTGAAGTTCTAGGCAGCAGTCTCAACTGGTCAAGATCGAATCAAAAGTTTCTAATATCATTGAGTGATCATCGCGTTTTGTAACAAGTTGATTGTAGTTAAAGATGTATACCTTTAGATGACAAATCAGTGGTCTAATAAGTCGATGTAAAACCTAAATATCCTGGGTTCGATACCTGGTTGCTCCATGGGTACTCACTTTTGAGGATTCTTGTAGTAAAATTAGATAAATCTTCAGTTCTCACAAGATTTCAAAAGTTCCCTCAAGAGAACCCAATCTGTGATGAATATTACCCTCAAATTGAGACTTATCTCTTAAACACCCATTCAACAACTCAAGAACAACTAACCATAATTTTCATTTTCTTATTAATAGTGGAAAATGGTTCATGGGTAAAAATTATGATATCTGACTGAATTGGAATTGTAATTCTAGTATTTTTGTACTTTTACTTTTTCCGTACTTCTCTCAATGGTAACAACTAACAGCGAATCCGTTTTACCAGGGAAAGAACAGTATTATATGTTGTCAAAAATGCTGTCGTCTATGAAAAATGATCGAGTAAATCAATGTAATTAATTGAATCTGGTTTCTTGAGCTAAAATTAACTTAACAATTGGAATAAGAATATTTCATTATTTTGGTGCTACTATTTACTAAAATACTGATATAAAACATATTGAAATGACTAAACACTATATTTAATTTATAGAGTACCAACTCTATATTATTCGGTGATCTCATTGAAAGCAAAGCTAATAGAAATTGTTCACTTGATATCACTTTCAGTTCACCTACCGCTAAATAATAAAAATAAGGAAATTTCACTGAGAATGTCAAATCCTCTAATGATAGTGTGGACAGGACAACACTATGGAGGCTTCTTTGACACTACAGCGTACCTGAGAAGATAGTCAACATCATACGGAACTCCTATGGCGGACTAAACTGCCAAATCGTCCACGGATGACAACTCACCGACTCATTCGAAGTAAAGACCGGTGTTAGGCAAGGTTGCTTACTCTCACTCTTCCTTTTTCTCATGGTGATCGACTGGATTATGAAGACGTCAACATGTGGAGGAAATCACGGGATACAGTGGACAGGCAGGATGCAGCTTGACGATTTAGACTTCGCAGATGATCTGGCTCTTCTATCACACATGCAACAACAAATGCAAGAGAAGACGACCAGTGTAACAGCAGCCTCAGCAGCAGTAGGTCTCAATATAAACAAAGGGAAAAGCAAGACTCTCCGATACAATACGACATGCACCAATCAAATTACACATGACGGAGAAGCTTTGGAGGATGTGGCAACCTTTACATATCTGGGCAGCATCATTAATGAACACGGTGGATCAGATGCAGATGTGAGGGCGAGGATCGGCAAAGCAAGAGCAGCATATTTACAACTGAAAAGCATCTGGAATTCAAAACAACTGTCAACCAACAGAAATGTCAACATTTTTATACAACTGTCATGAAAGTTCTACTGCATGGGGAAGAAACTTGAAGGACTACGAAAGCCATCATCCAGAAGATAAAAGTTTTATCAACAGTTTTCTACGCAAAATACTTCGGATCCGTTAGTCAAACACAATCAGCAACATTCTACTATGGGAGAGAACAAATCAGATTCCAGCGGGTGAAGGAATCAGGAAGAAACGTTGGAAGTGTATAGGACACACATTGAGGAGAGCAGCCAACTGTATCACAAGACAAGCCATCACATGGAATCCCCAAGGCCAAAGAACATATTACACCGAGAAATGGTAACAGATATGAGAAAAATGAACAAAAACTGGATAGAACTAGAAAAGAAGGCCTATGAAAGACTAAGTTGGGGAATGCTGGTCGGCGGTCTATGTTCGATTGGTAGTAACAAGCGTAAGTAAGTAATTGGTTATTTAACAACAATAATTTGGGGGTTTTTTAGTATAGAAATCATCATATCCCATATGTATTTTATTCAAATTGTCATTTGCTTTCAATATTGGTAAATAAAAATGTTCATAACCTTTACTCATATTTAATTGTCTAATATTGAAGAATAATAAAAAAAGGTGTGTTATAAAAATGTTTTTTAGGGAATAAATCAAGAAAATTTAGAATTAGATGTTCAAAATGAATTAGTTAATGAAGAGTAATGACAATGAGCATAAGTAAAGGTCAGTGGAATCAATGATGATACTTATTGTTATATCCTGGCGAAGACATAAGTACGGGTAACTCCCAGGATCTATTAATGGGCGATTATGCTATATATATTCTTATTGTATAACTATTCAGTAACTCGATTGTGTATATCTATATTTATCTTATTATAAGCTTCATTTTGACCTATGAATTATTATTATACGATTTACTGTTTCTAAATTATGCTCAGTTTATTGATTACTATCTCCCACGTTCACAGCCACATTTGGCTTGATTTTCTACAAATATTATTTTCTATTTTATGGTGTGATGTGGTCTGTCTGTCTGATATATAAACGAAGTATGTTTGAAATAAACGATTCGCTTAGATTCGCATAGCAGAAGCTGCTATTGGTGTTTTGGACTCGAGTGAACAGGCTAGGCGGATTAAGGACCATTAAGGACTAATACTGATTGGACGTTCTTGATTGTCACCGTGTTAAGGTCGGAGAAGTCGTATTTCTATTGGTGGATAATTCACGCGAGTTACGTCCTTGTTTAATTTGAAAGGTCATAACGAATTATAGACGACCTTGATTCAAGTCATAACAATCGGCTACAACCTTGAGCAAGACATAACAATCGGCGACGGATTGGTAAAGTCACAACACTAATAACTTTAATTTATTGTTTTATTATTATTATTATTAATAGAATAAAATAATTCAATACAATATTAATTCAACTGTGATCTATGAGATAAGGGAAGTATTGTGACTATTTAGGCTGTTTAATTTATCATATGGTTTATTCATCAATCAGTGTACGACTTATACAATCTTAATACTGTGCCAAGTCAATGACGTACGACCGATATGAACAGTCTAGAGTCCTTATTTGGTCTATTGTTCGCCTAGCCTGTTCAGTTGAGTCTAGAACGCCAACAACAGCTCCTAGTATACGAATCATTTATTTCAAACATATTTGTTTTATATACCAGCCAAACAGACTGCATTACACCATAAAATAGAAAATAATATTTGCACAAGATCAAGCCAAAATGTGGCTGTGAATATAGGAGACAGTAATCAATAAACTGAGTATAATTAAGGAACAGTAAATCGTATAGTAATAATCTATAGGTCAAAAAAAGCTTATAATAAGAGGAATATTTAAAGAAAAAACAACATTATCAGAAGGGGCTTTTGTCGAGATTTCAGTGATTTTATAGTTTAATTCATAAGTCAATTAGAGTTAAACCACCATGGTTTTCCAGTGCTTCCAGGTTTTTCATAGTGGTCTAGCTTTAATTGACTCATGAATTCAACTATGAGAAAAAAATTATTGATCAGTATTAGAAATAGATCTGTTTCTTTTGTTGTTGTTGTTGTTGTTATGATAAATCTTTTATGTAAAATGTTCATAGATTCATTTCACAAGTAAAAATTACACTCAATTCATACTTAGTTGTTTACTAATGAGTAGTATTAAGTGTGAAACTTTGCACAAACTGATATCAATTAGATGCTCATTGAAAGATACAGTGTATTAAAGGTTTTTTTAGTTTGACATTGTTAAATCTTCTGACTGAATGTTTGATTTGGTTTTAAAGCTCTTCTAATAGACCCAGACTAAATCTTGAACATGAGAGAGAAGGTGCGAAATATGAAAAAAATTCTTTACTCCAATGTTAGTATATGTACAGAAAATTGAGGGCATTTATAGTATTTCAGATGTCCTTGAGATTCTTGAACATTCTGGAACCCTACTAAACATAGTAGCAGGGTAGATGATCATCCAATCAGAAATGTCACACACGACTCTTCACTTTCTAAATGTTTCTGAGATACTTCTATTCAATTCTGATTGAATAAGATGTTTTCCAGCATTTTCAGAGCCCTTCTGGGCATTTTTTGATGAATATTTTTGGATCCTTCCAAAAGATATGTGTTTGCAACCCATCTTCTTGAAACAGTGCACATATGTACTAGCTTTTAATTTACATATAACAGATTGATTAACTGAATCAAAAGAAACTGTATAGCATTCATGTTTGAGGGAGTATTTGACTTCATTTTGCTAATGATTGCATAACTTAACGATGTTATGACTAAAATCAACTTTTTCTTGTTTTCCAGTGTCACTGATGATACGAGCCAATGGGATCATCTTTTTTGTCTAACATAGATTTCTTGAATAACTTCAAACTCTCTACAATATTCTACATTTATTTTCATTATTCAAGTAGATTCTTTAAGAAAAAAAGGATAAATTTTAAATATAGTTTACTTAATAAATGAGAAATTTGTTATAAATTGTAGCCTTCTACCCTATTAATATATGATGTAATGTTATCACCAATTAGAGAAAAGTGACTTATCAACAGGACTAATGATGCGTAAAACGGTTCGAGTAGTTTAGAGTCTTTAGCGACCCTTCTTCCCGCCTAGCCCTGCTTGTTATGTCTATATTCCAACCAGACAGACCATATCGTACCAACAAAATAGAAAATAAAATGTGTACAAGATTTAGTCAAACGTGGCTGTGAATGTAAGAGACTGTAATTAATAGATTGATCACAACTCAAGAACATTAAATCGTATAGCAATAGTCTATAGATCAAAATAAAGCTTATGATAAGAGGAACATAAGTATGAGTAGTTTAGCTACTAAACAATTATACAATAGAAACATATGTATAGTATTGATCCATAAATGCATCCCCAAAGTTACCATTCAATATTCTCGTCGGTAAATAACATGTTTCAGATATTCCTATCAGATGAGTATTATTATCACTACTGAGTTCACGCGATTCATCCACTTGTTTTTCGGTACTACTCTTTCATGCTTGCTTTACGTGCCTGTAATTTGGGATATCTGTGCGTGGTTCAATAATAAACGTAATCAACACTTTATATTCGCCTTCTGATTTATACACCGTTGGGGTGTTTATCTAGTAACGGTTATCAGGATGAACAATAAACAAAGTTTAAGGATAATATCGAATATCTATCATTACACTATGCTCTTTACATTACTATACTAATACAGATTAGAAAATTTCCATTTTTACTTTCCTCGATAAAATCAAATGATAGGTGATTAGTAAATGGGAACTGTCTATGGATATTCTCATAAAATTATTAAAAAAATTAGTTTCTTAAAAATAGACTGAAAAAACAACAACAAAAGCTTGGTGCTGTTATGTAAAAAAGAAGTTGACCAATAATAAAACATATTTGATTGTTTTCATGTTAGAAGTCATTAATTAAGGATCTAATACTTCATCAATTGTATTCTGGTATGTGTTTATTTAACATTAAGTATTCGAAAGTAACTATGGCTGATCGACTAAATATTCTATCAGAGATCATGATTTAAATTGATTCAAAACCTACGTTGAAACGTGAATAGTACTAGTACTTTGAATCAAATCACCTGACACGATTGAGTAAACTAGAATGTCCAATATCTCGGTTTCATTCAGTAGGATTCTATGTTGATTATACACAGGTCGATTGTTTAAACTGTGCAGCAATCATGGCTTCCGTTCAACTTCAAACATCACACCTCTACATAAAGCCTAGATATGTTGATTAGTTTACTACTGGAAGTGATAAATCTTATTCGTTCTGTTTATATGATTTCGCTTGATGTGAACACATCATTTGTCAAGAAACATTCGTGAATATTGTAACCATATTTTTGATTTACTATTGTAAGTTGTGAAAAACTGATTGATTGAGATGTATTCGTTATTGAAATCAATCAAAAATCAAGTGGTAAACCAAGAATCACTAGTCATCTGACATTAGTCTCTAGAAATAGAACTAAACTCAATTCCCATTAATCTAGTCAAAAGCTTTACAAATGTTTACTGCGAACATAGAGCTTTGACACATATCTCAATAAGTTGTCACTTCTAAAAGTTTGAAATAAAAAATTATTACTTTTTGCTGTAATATAAACATGTGGATGTGTCATCCACTTTTATCCAAAGAGTAATGGACACGTCTAGATGAAATGATTCTAATACGATATCTCTTAACTGATTTCAGGACAGAGTGTCAGACACTGGTGATATCTATCGAATTTGCTTCTATCCGAATAGCTGCATGTGGTGAATGGAAATACTAGAAAATCGATTGAATGCCGATTTGTAGTCTACAGTTGTTGGGCTCGTACATTGCGTCGAGTCACGATTGATTGTGATCACTATTACAGGAAGATTACGTGCCAGTTATCAGTCTTCAGTAATAAGTATAGTAAATTGATGAATCTGTGTTAATCCTGACAGATTTCCTTCCAGTGAAGGTCCAGCTTCTTTTGGAAAATGTTCACTGATGGTGCTGATACCACTTGTTCTGGTAAAGCGTTCCAATCATTGACCACTCGATGAGAAAAACGGGACCCCACCTTTAGTTTACTAGATCGCGGTTTCATAACCTTCTTGCTATGACCCTGGAGATTATTAGTGCTGGAGGGAGCAAAAAGATAAGACATATTAACACCCAGATCATAATTAAAGATACGAAATGCCAGTATAAAGTCACCTACGTCCTACGATAAGATAAGGTAAAAATATTTAGACGTTTTAAAAGCTCATCGTTTTTGATCCCTCGGTAGGCCGAAAACTAGAAGGCTGTTAATGTTCCAGCTAAGCTATATTTGTTGGCGATGTCACGTTATCGAAATAATACCGAGACATGCCAAAATTTACGGGCGTAACTGTTGAGCGTAAGGGAGTTCTTGCAAGGTCACAGGCAACTGAAGGAAAAGTGCTTTTGGTACATTTTAACAAACAAGCCTGGTAAAACAATCACTGGTACAATTGGTTATAAGGATAATCGTTTCCATCATACCAATTCGTTTTCGCCATAAAAGTAGGTCACTGCACGCTTAATACATTCCCCCTTGTTGCATTGTTGGGTGCGGTGTAGCAATATAATGGGTGTTAATATGTCTTATCGTTTCGCTCCCTCCAGCAGTGATGACCTCCGAGGTCATG